AACATTCTCTGTACTGTCAATAGCATCTTAGTTCTGTTCGCAAAATGTTAGCACAAAATCATTATTTATATATCATTCGTAGAACGTTTTTTATGTTTTAGTTAGACATTCATCTAACATGTTTTTTTAATGTTGCTATTTGTTTCAGAATGTTCCAAATGAACATTCCATAATGATAAAATAGGATGTTCCGTTAACATTCGCACAAGCAAGAAAAAAAAAATGTTTAAACATTGAAAAAACTGTACATTTTGAATGTTCAGAGAATATTCTGAAATAACGTTTTCATAACTTAATGGGAATATTAGCAGAACATTCTTAGAATATATTTTTTGTTAGCTGGGTAGTTGTAGGAGGAACTCTGTGGAAATTACTGTCACCTAATATGTAACACAGTTGCTAATAATCTGTTTCCTCTCCACAGCGTGAGTGTATCTCTGTCCACGTTGGCCAGGCTGGCGTCCAGATGGGGAACACCTGCTGGGAGCTGTACTGTCTGGAACACGGTATCCAGCCAGACGGACAGATGCCCAGCCACAAACCAGTGGGTGGCCATGATGACTCCTTCACCACCTTCTTCAGTGAGACTGGAGCTGGCAAATATGTACCCCGTGCCATCTTTGTAGACCTTGAGCCAACCGTCATTGGTAAATATCATAATGGTGTTTAATTTGTATTTGTCATATGGGGAATGTAAATGAGTAAAATCATTGCAGCCATAGTTGCATTTATAATAGAAAGAAAAGAGATGGCACACTGTAATAATGCTCTCACAACATTTAATAAACAGGATGGACAAAGTTTCAACAGGTTATTCTTCATAATATAAGTTACATGTACAAAGTTACAAGTTGTTTTTATCCAAAGCGACTTACAAAAGAGGACAATTAGAAACAATTAAACCAACAAAAAGATCACAAAATACTGTGACAGGTCCCAATTAGTCATGGGTCACCATAGCAAGGTTTAATTTAATTTAATTTTATTTTATTTTATTTTATTTTATTTTATTTTATTTTATTATTATAG